CTAGCCTTGAGCTGAAGAGCTGAGGGACAGCGCCCAGGCCCAGAGTTCAGGCCCCACAACCGGACCCAAAAATAAATAAATAAATAAAATTATTTCAATGAAAGTCAGGGCTTTGAGGGGGTAAGATCGTACTCGGCTAGAAACTTGAGTTCCCTCTCAATACTTTATTCTGCACCTCAATTATCTCAATTACCAATTTTCAGCAAATTACTGAAAAAAATTAAAAATAAAGGAATAGTTACCTCATTGATAAACTGTTATTGCAGCTCATATAAATAATTACTTAGGTTGCTTACTGCAGTTTTTAGTGATTATTTTTACACATTATATCATTTTGACATTCTTGGATAAAAAATAACAGATGTTACTTTGATTTTAGAGATGGAGCCATCTCTAGAGACGGCTACTCTGACACGGACACCTAGTTTTAGTGCCTAGTTCTAGATAACTCTAAGCCAGTCCTCTCATGTGAAAAGGCAACATAGAACTAGGAAACGGCACAGCTGAGATTTGAAACAGTCCTTAAACCAATTCTGCTACTTAGGAAAAATCACCACTTCCTCTCAATGTTAGGATAACATTGAACATCTTCCCTTACAAAACAGTAAGCCTCTGGAGCTACAAGCAGAGCTAATTTGTCAAGAAAAGCAGAGCACTGGTGGCTCATGCCTATAATCCAAGCAACTAAGGAGGCTGAGATCCAAGGATCACAGTTCAAAGCCAGCCCAGGCAGGAAAGTTCATGAGTCTCCAATTAACTACCCAAGTATCTCAAGTAGTAGAGCACTGATCTTGGGCACAAAAGCTCAGGAAAGGGGCCCTAGCCTTGAGTTCAAGCCCAGGCATGGCACAAAATAAAATAAAATAATAATTTGTCAAGAAAATACACATGTAGTTAGGGCAGACCTGGGCCACAGCCTGCAAGGGGGTAATCAGGCTGCTGTGCTGGATCTGGATGTCAGGAAGGTCTCCATGACGATAGCTTCTGTACAGAATGACATGGGCGTCCTGCTTAATTTTTAACTCACTCTTCATCTCCTAGAAAAAAAAAAATAAATAAATCAATGACCAGAAAGTAAAACAGGCTTGGATGTAGCAGGGGAGGTACTGGAAGGAGAGAAGAGGGCTGATAGAGTGAACAAGGATGAATATTGTCAAAGTTGATAGTTTACATATGTGAAAATACGACTACAAAACATTGTTGAAACTGTCTTAAGAAGGGAGAGGGAGGGCTGGGAAGGTGGCTCAGTGGTAGAGTGCTTGCCTCCCAGGCGTGAGGCCCTGGATTCGATTCCTCAGCACCACATAAACAGAAAAAGCCAGAAGTGACACTGTGGCTCAAGTGGTAGAGCGCTAGCCTTGAGCTGAAGAGCTGAGGGACAGCGCCCAGGCCCAGAGTTCAGGCCCCAC